GTCGCGCAAGTACCTCCCGCTCTTTGTCCTTGCATTCTATGTGTATTCCCTAACATCTGTGAGCCCACCCATAAACTGCATCGTGGTCCCATTGAGAATCATATCGCAGGCAATGGATACCGCAATGCTCGCCTTCACCCAGTGGTCGCCGTATCTGCTATCGCTCCCCGTAAATTCGCCTTCCTATTAGGTCAACAGCTCCGCTGATAACACATACCTAGCGCTGGCTTCTGTTAACCGCCCCCCGCGCAATTAACGTCGCCACCCTTCTATGCATCATCCCAGGTAAGACATCCGACCTCTATGGCAATTCTCCTCTTTTCTCACCTTCATCCCAGGAATCGCCTGGATTTTCAGAGAGACCTATGGCGACACCAACCACGGAGCTCTCCGCCTCGCAACATTCCTATCACAGAACTCCATCCTCCTCGCAGCCCTCTCCAGCATCGGCGTCCTCGTCTTCTGCATCTCTGATCGCTCACAAATCATCTACCCCATCTTCACCGCCGCATACCCTTTCACCATCGGCGGGGGCCCCGCGCTCTACGCGCTCGGCGGGGCATACTTTCTGGCGCTGGGCCGCGCCGACGAGGTCGGCTCGCTCTTCGGCGCGCTGTCCCTGTGGGGAACGCGGGGCAATATACATCCGTGCGTCGTGTCCCATTTAGCGAAGAAAAACTTGACTCATGCGGATGCACGGCAGTTCGCCATGTACCACAGGGGCTGGGCGCTCTTCTGGCTCTCCGCATTCTTCCTTGTAATAGCCCTGATGTTGCTCGTCCCCGATGCGCCGCCTGTGCAAGAGGAGGACGAGTCGGATGGCGCGGCGGTATAGAATTTCCAGCGCAGTAGATATTTATATTTCGGAATGCGGTAAACTCGAAAGGGCGCTCCTGAGCGTGGGCCGGGGGAGAGTTGTTGTGGCCCTGCTTCTATCTCCTCCTATCTTTCACTTCTTTTCCCTGTCATCTTTCTTACCAGGAATTCACGAGCTCCAGGCCCTCTGCGTGATGACGGAATCCAGATACAGCAGGGCGGCGTACAAGCCGTTCTAGCCGCGAGACGGACTAGATGCGAAATCACGCGGACTTCCCACAGAGTAACCGTATGCTTCACCCACGCCGGATTTAACAGGCAACTTGGAGGGCTTGACAATCTGGGATAGAATGGAGGTCCTAGGATTCAACAACTGGCAGACGTATATGTTACATCCCGCTCATGCTCCGACATCAACGTATCAGAGGTGAAAGATAGATATCACTGCCGCGAAGCGGTCTACTCGACACATTTATCCAGCCCACCTCAAGTCTTCCAATCAGAAGGACAGAAATCAGAAGCGTGACAGCTATTCTGGCTAATTTAGAAGATGGCCACATGCATGAACTGTTTTTTCCCCATCTCCGCCTTACAAAGAAAAAAACACGTGTTTATTGGTCTGACTAGGGAGACTAGGCCACATGATGATGGACGCATCGGTATTCCCTCCTCTCCCTCGCACCCACTCCACTCATGGATTACAGTTCTCAACAGGGGCCTGAGTTGACTTCGGAGGCCACATTTCAGTATCCGGAAACTTCTGCTCCGTTCGTCGTTCACTCATCACCCACCTTGTGTGCTGCATCTGATAGCGCTCAGATTAACGAGTACTTTCTTCCCCAATGCAAAGCACTTCGTTGTCTCTGGTGGAAGATTTGAAAGTACCACAAACATTCACTATACAACCGCTAGGGTTCCCGGTAAGGCAAGAATGTGTTCGTACTGGAACCAAATTTACCCGCCCCGATAGGCTTTCGGATAATTCCAATGGGTGACCTGGATCTCCGTGGCGAAATTCGAGTTGACTCTGAGACTGGTGTGGTTCACCGGCCCCGAGACGGATGCACTCTGCCCGGATTTATGGTTCTAATTCAAAGATGACTGTAGCCATCTACGAAGGGGGCAACGCCGAGGAAGTGGGTTTAAACACATAGTTCCTCGCTCGAACTGAGTCCCATTTAACAGCACTGGCGGGAGGCTATTTTCCGGTACTCAAACCTTCGGCAAGTGATTATTTTGTGGCGATGGCGGCATGGCTGATGGATGGGGTTCAGGCATCCCTCTATCATCCAGCTCTTTTGCATCGCAAGAGCCTCTGACATATATGCCGCAATCTTTCACGATGGTTAGGTAGTACCCTGCGAGGCGAAGAAAAAGTTCCTAATCATTATTTCAGAATTGGTACCCGCTCAACAAATGCTTGAGAAGTACAATATCTCACCGGTTTGTATCGTCTACTTTCGGCATTTCCTGGTATGGGCGCCCCAGATGGGTAATATTATCACTGACTCACTTCCAGGGATCTAAATCGTGGGTACGGGCCCCGAGGTTGACCTCACTCAACACGGAGGCTAACTTGTCGGCAGGACGCCCGAAAATATGTGCAGTCTGTATCTGGAGATTGGCTGGTGCACTTGACTGTCTAAGTCATTGATGCATATCTGACTGCATTCTGTAGGCCGAGGAGGATTGCACGCTGTGGATACGACAATCAACTCGCGCGCTATGCGTTGATTTCGCCCCCGATGACTTCTACGTCGATTCTTTGGTGAAGATATACCATCTGAAGTTATTTTGCATGACACACTTCTTGAACCGACCCAGGAATCCAAAATTATCGCTTCGATGTCACTTTGGGGTTATCATCATATTTGCCGCTATGCACTCTCCCGGCGCCCCTGGTTCTCGATTCCCAAACACTCATCACTGAAATTGGGGACAGTCAGATATTTCCCAGGATCCGACTACGCAGGCTCAATTGAAGTGGCATCTATTCCTTATGAGATTAATGCTTCTGGTTGGGATAATAGTGAACGAGGGTTGATTCTGGCAAACGGATGGACTAGGTAAGCCCCTTTATTTTTTGCGCGGTCCATCTTGTCATGCTAATTATATCTGTACACCGAAGGATAAGCTCCGCCGAAGTTGATGATGTGTATGAGAGCAGAGTGTGGGACTACAGCACACCTTACGATTGGCTGAGCCAAGCAAACCACATTTTCAAGGACCTCAACATTGTATCCAGTTATGAGGATTATGGTGCGTACAGTACCTCCGCATCACACGACTCTTTGCCAATCTTGGTGCTTATTTTCATTAGCCTTTCTAGATAGGGTCCGGTATCGGTTGTCATTTTCCGGCCCAATCAACGGTCTAGCGGCGGGGTATCTCTTTCTGTGTCCCTTCACACACCTTCAAACGAATGACTCCACTCGGTTTCAACATCCGGAGTGCCCAGCTTACTGGTCCCTGGACTCATCTGGAGTTGAACAACTGGGAACCGAGGAGGCTGAAAATCTGGGATTTCCATCTGTAGAGTTGGAAATGGAGGCACGCAGGACGTTTTGGGATGAGAGAGTGTATTCTGGACTTCGACAGTTCCACAAAGGAAAGGGCTTTGACCCTTTCAGCCAGGATGTCGCCCGCCACCTGGGGCTACAGCTGTTCCAGTTCGTTGATGGACTGGCAGCCTCCGTCGCTCACGGTGGGACGATCGAACTTATTAGCTGATCCCGCCATTCCTAATCGTTGGGCCTGAATAGTGGAAGAGATCGATAGTGAAAGCGGCGTTGATGAATCATTCATGAAGAACTCTCCGCCGGTATTTCTCATTATTTCACCTTCGGCCAAGTCAACAATTCTCCATAGGACGGGACGCAGTTTGTATGGCACGGTCGGAATGCCTTCAGGATGCTACATCTTCTAGCCCTTCCGCTTCCGAACTCGATACTCTGTTCGGCATTCACTGGGATTAAAATACGAGTTGCTGGTTGGGACGGGGGAAATTTTCGGGAAGAATCAGCGAGCAAATTTGTGTGAGGGGATGAAAGAGAATGTTATCTTTGTTAATCTCACACTAAGCCAGACTTTATTAATAGGATGCCTGCACTGTACGTTCCACCTCAAGTGGACTCTCCCGCTCAATTTGCACGATTGAGCGACGGCGCATGTGCTACATGCACCACATATGAGTTCTAGGGCTGTACGTGTATTTGGTTGAGTGCTACAAAAAAGGACCATCAGCACCTTTCGGGACGGAAGTCTCCACAGGCATCATCAGCTTGAACGGTGGAGAGTCGGAGGACAAGAAATGGTCACATTACTCGGCGCCCGTCGGGAGTTGCAAAAGTCGGAGGCTTCCCGAATTTCTAGTGCTTGATCGAAAAATATCAGCTTGAACTTGGCGTGAGACAGGAAAAAAGGTGACAATAGAAGAAAATGGGCGGATTATGGATTCGATTATGGAGGGATTCTCGATTTATTTAAGCGTGGGATAATCGCGCTAGTCCATAATCCTCATCATCCTATAATCTCCTCCGAAGGAGATTCTGCAAGGATTATGATTATTTTATGGAGGATTATGGCCTAAGTTGGCTTTTGTGGATTAATCCTGTCGGGATAATCTTGACGCCATAATTGTAAAACCCGCCTGGTTTACCGTACCGATCACATCGGCTGCTTGTGTACCCTAGTCATATCTTGTCCTTTACCACCGTCTCTCTGTCGTAGCTCGTTGCATCTCTCCCAATCATAGTGTGGTCCTGTTGACTTAGCGGGATTTCTCAGCAGCCTTTTCTCTAGTGTTTCCTGCTCGGCCAGCAGGCTTGCAATAATCCCAGAGCATTTGGGGTGGTCAAAATTGAGCGCGATTCTGCGAGGATTCTGTGTGATTATGGCTTTTATTTAAATTCATAATCACATTATAATCATACCATAATCCTTCCTATAATCCCTCCATAATCCCTCCATAATCCTCTACTCTGAGTCTCTGACTGCCCCTAATGACTATCTAGTCGGACGCTGTGAGTCGAACCCAGGCTTCCCGCCTGCAATCACCGTCGATCGGCTCAAGGAGAGCGGGTGTGCACCGTGCACTACGTCCAAGTTCCTATCCTTCTTTCGTACTGCGAGAAGTGCAGGAGATTTCAAGACTCGCCTCGAGTAAAAAGGAGCTCCATCCCGAATTCGGACGCCGGGAGTCGAACCCAGGCTTCCTGCATCCAGTGGGGCTAGACATCATATATGAAGAGCAGGTGGACACCGTGCACCACGTCCGAGTTCCCATGCGTACTCGTAACCAGACAAAGTCAGAGAGTTTGAGCCGCTCACCTCAAGTAAAAAGTGCGGCGCATTGACGGATTCGGATGCTGGCCCGGAGTCCAACTGAGCCTTCCCGAATTCCAGTTCTTGATAGAAAAATATCAGCTTGAACTTGGCGTGAAGTAGGAAACAAACACGATGGCGACTCTATTCGGACGCTGGGAGTCGAACCCAGGCTTCCTGCATCAACCGCAAAGAACATCACATTAAGAGCAGGTACGTCCGAGCTCCTCTTCCTGCTTCGCTGCAGGGGAAGTGTAGTCGAATCAGCATATGTTTGTTCAAGCGTTCAAGGATGGCGGGTGCCGAGTGTCTCCCGAGTCTGCAGGATAAATTATCAGCGTGACGTAAAGGGAAAAACTCCGAGGCAATCTAACCCAGGCTTCCCACCTCTTATATGGAAATCCTGTTAAGGAGAGCGGGTGTGCACCGTGCACCACGTCCGAGTTCCCATACCTAATTTGCAGCGGGGGAAGTAGGAGAGTATATGAGGGCGATCGAGGCAGCGGACGCTTCATTCGTGTTTCTGCAGGAAATACGAATACCAAGGGATGAGTGTATGCAGGAAGGCTCGGAGGGAAGAAGTACGTGCTGGCGGTGTGATATGATAGCGATCCGGTGCAAAGACAATGGTCAGGACCAGCGGTACGAGGGGGACTTCTGGGGACTTGCGAGCGGAGACGAGAAGCAGACGAACGCGACGAAGCAAGTAGGTGCACGCAGATCGACGTGCACCTACTGATCACAACTTAAGGCGGAATGACGCGGAGCGAAGAAGCGACGGACAGTTATAACTTATGAGTACTTACGGTGAGGTCTGCGCACGCGACATGGAGCCATAAGGCTGCATTCCGATCTGTCTAACACCGTGATTAGACGGTGGATGGATTGGAATGCAGAGACCCGGAATAGCGCGAATAAACGTGGTCTCGCGGAGTGCGGGAGGATCAACGTGGTTTGTGTGCGGGGACGTCGACGGGGATAGTCTGCAGTCAGCGTTGCGTTACGCCTACATTGGGCTAGTAGGATCCGATACGAATCAGAGGGGGCGTGCCGGGCGCGAGGCGTGGACAAGTCATCATGGCTCATCGCGGCCAGAGTCATCCGTGCAGCTAGTCAAGGGGCGAAGAGACGGGCGCGTCATCCGCACTCACGGTGAATCAGGACAGGCACCAGAGGGGCAGATCGCACGGCCACCGCACATCTGCCAGTCGGCGACTCGGGGTGCCCATGTGAGCGGGGATAACGGAGATAGCCCCGAGCCAGTGGCGGCCGCAAATGGCTAGCTATGCCACCGAGCCTGGTGCAGCGCGTCGCGCCACTGCGCCTACAGACCCAAAGCGGCCAAACGCGCGTCGAAGATAGAGGCGAAAATCCAAATTCACAAACAGAAACTTTAGTTTCTGATTTGTGCTCAGAGTACCGAGAATGTCGCCAAAACGCCCACGTGCCTTGTCATTTGTCATTCTGCTGAGTCTTCTGCCGATATGTCGCTGCCGCACATGCACAGCATTTGCTCCCAATTTATTCCACGACACTACTTACATGGCTGCCAACTCTGAGAATAGGCCCTCTTCCTGTAAACACACTCTTGATTGCCAATGTACCACTTTTATCTCTTACCAATATGTTTTACACCCTGTTTGTGCTCCGCCGCTTGCCGGCCACTCAATCTCATTGGGAACAGCTCCCGTGGGATCATTACGGACCGATCGGCACGTGGCGCCATAAAAAAGTTGGCGTGTACGCCCAATGTACGCCCGTGGCCGCATGTAATCCGAAATCGTCCCCGCGCCTATCGCCTCCTCGCCACTCTATCCAATCTTTGCTTCCTTCCCTCGTCTGCATTTCTGTCCACCCCCACGATATTCGTGACGGAATATGACGGAATACCTTGACGACTTCTCCCCGGCCGCCTCAAAGCGGCACCTCGAGACGCAGGCGCGCATCGCGCGCTGGACGCAGAGCACGCATGAGCTGCCGCAGAAGGACCCGCACACCCCGCCCACCCCCGCCCACCCCCGCGTCCGCTGCGTGCGCTGCCCTCCCCCGCGAGAAGGACGCGCCGCACGTGCTCGTCCGACCGCGACCACGAGCAAGATCAAGACCAGGATCGAAGCAGGAGCAGGAAGTGCTCGCCGCTGCTGCTGCTTGCTTACCTGTGGTGTGTGCCTTTATAAATTAATTTTCTTGTGCTTGCGCCGTAAGCAGCGTCGGCATCCGATCTGCGTGCGCACGCACCGCGCCATGTTGGGCCGCAAGTGGAAGTGAATGTGCACGAAAATTCAGACCGGGACGCAGACACAGATGGACTGTGCACGAGCACCGGGGTTGTGCAGTCTGTGCTGTGGCGTCCCCAATTGGAGATGTACGCGGGGTCCTGGGCGATCACTACAACGCCGCGCACTTCGATCGTGGATGCGGCGCACGGAGTCGTGAGAAGTGTTTCTGTGCTTTTTTTGTTCTGTTTGATTGGGTTGGGTTGGTTTTGGGGGAGTTTTTGGGAGGAGACATTGATTCGATTTATCTCGTGTGGGATACACTCGATGAACTATATGGGCTCTGTGAGATGGGCGCGCGTTTTCTCGCTGCGAGCCCAATCGAACCTCGGTGGCTCGCCCGCGGCGCTCACTTTTTCGTTGGTGCGGGGAGCTGGGTCAATCACATGATGCTGTGTGGGATGGGGATAGGATGCTCGAGCGGCCCTGCGCGCGCTGGATGGGGTGTTTGTCCACCAACTTCCCGACGGTCTTCTCCTGACGATCTCCAAGACCTGCAGAGTTTTTAACAGCCTCTGCATGCCCATATACCTCATCTGCAAAGGAATACCCCCCGAATCTCTTGCGGCCGGGGATCTGGCTATCCCTCCAGCCTTAGTGCAGCCTTGCAGTTGTCCCTCTATACCCCTCCGATCGAGTGCCTCTCCCGTCAATTCTAGACGTACAAGGTCCCTGAAAATTTGGCGTCTCTGCGGAATCTAATATGCGGATCTCCATCTATTTGAAGACTGGACCTGATATTCAACGAGGACTTGACCCTTTATCGAGCTTTCCCATCTAAGCGGCGCTATGGTGACGCCGTTTCCCCGCCAAATCGGGCTGAATCTCTTCTGCGACATCGTATATGCGATGGCGCAGAGGTTTGCCGTGGTCGTAGGCTGGCAGAACATCTTTACATGTCGGTCCCGCGACATACGCAGCTGGAAAATCCACTAGTTCCATTTCTGTAGGGGCCTCAGGGATTATATCCGCCGCCCTTTCGGAAACACTATCCCAGCCACATGACCATCCGCCTCCACGACGGTGCCTCCGCCGACGTGCGCCCCATCAGCTCCATCAGCTCCGTCTATGTTTATGACATCCCATCTATTACACGGTGATAGGCTGGCCCTGTGACCAGGCGTGAAATCTTTCAATTTTGCGTCTGTTGTTACTCACTAGGGCCATATAAACCAATAGATCACTCCAAGAGAGCTAGTGTGAGGTCCGAACATCTAGCTAAGGATATACTACGTGTACTACCTGTAGGCGCTCGGTTGTGATGACGGTACCACTATGGGCCAGATTCCCAAGCAGCTATACTACCTTTAGCTAAAGGTCGTCCACCCGTTCTGTGAGGAACTGGGACTTGCCTGCACAATCCTACCAAGGACATAGTTACTGCACGCCATCTAGACAATGGGCAATATGCTGGGGACACAATTAGAGCCTGCACAACATCGCGGCGGTCGAAGCGACCTCGCGTGGCGGCAAGTCCGACACTTCCCGATAAAGCCGATCAAGCTTTTGACAGGAAGTGTCAACAGTTTAACCGGACCGATGATCGGGCCAGCGGAACAACAACTCCGCGCGGCTAAATAGAGATCACCCGGTCTAGGCACTCGCTTTATCTAAAAGCCTAGAAACCATATGGAGCTGTCATTAAACACATGGGATCTGCAGCGCAGCAGCTGCGGATTCGAGTCAGAATGGAGCGTGCCATGCGGCTCGTTCCTGGTGTGACTGAGGACGGAGGTCTCAGCCCCCATTAAAATAATAAATATACCATTTTCTCGCGAACTAACTTTCAACAGGACCAGTTTCGCAGCTAAATGAGCTCGGAGCATTTATCCGACGAGTTCTGAATACCCGTTTGTATTATTTTGTGACCAGATACTGTGATTTCCTTATTTAGATCTCTTATTTGTATAAATACCTGTAGTTCTCTAGGAGGAAGCCAGTGGATTCTACCCTTTTTTACCCAGAGACCAAGGCTACCAGCTAGGTCCTGTGTGGGAACGTCTAGACTCTATTCGGCACAACTCTAGGAACTTTTAGTTCTTTCAGTTAGCTTACATTGTGGGAATAAATTTGATTTCGATTGATATTTGAACGCGAGACAAGTTGAGAAGTTCGAAAGAGCTAATCAAGTGCAAGTTACAAGTTACCAGTACGCGCAAACAAGTTGAACATCGGATTTCTGTGGAGCTGTGACCTTCGTCGTTACTTTGCCATAAGTTTATCAAGCCCGTTACCAGAATATAAGTGCCAGACAAAAATCCTATTGATCTTAAGATCACCTTGGAAGTAATTCCAAACCCCAGTTGTCCCAATTCTACTTTCCTTACCCTCTGAGGTCGTGTCAAGTGCCTACACCGCCATTTGATGCAGATCTCGAGCCGAGATCCTGCCTGCCATTTTGGGCTTTGGTGAGCCGGAGATCCGGTGGGATCTCCTCATGGCATAAAAAGCGAGTATCACCTGTTCGTCGTCTGAGACCCGGCTCACATCGACATCTGGTGGGGTCTCCTTCAGCTCTCATCCAGGAGCTCCTCTTCGATTCTCCATTATTTCACAGCTTACAAATATTATTCTTGCTTCGCTCATCATTGGCATGTCGCAAGTAATATGTCGCAATCAGGATTTCCGATTCATTACTCGTACAATAAGTACAAGTAATAAAATATAGTATGACCATG